AATCCATGCCTTTTGTAATGTTTCCATGTACTAGTCCTGTCAGTTTGAATGTTTCTCTCGATGACACAACTCTTGATCACATGCAGTTACTCCAAACTGATGAGATTTAGGCTCGTTCGGGACACCTCTGAACAGCTGCTGTATTAGCCGAGTTGGGAACAGGCCATAATGGTCTCATTGATTAAGACTGAGCCACTTTATCGAGGCCATCATCTGTCACCTGCTCTGGTTTATGAGCATCTATATCCAGTAGCCTGATGCTACCTTGACTGCTCTTGACCTTTGAAGCCTCTATTGGAATTGTAAATTCCAATAGAGGCACAGCCTATTAAACACGTGGCATTTAAGCTGATTGTAGTTCTCCTACCAGTATGTTACTGAAAATATCTTCAAGTGTTAGGAATCTGTTTTAGCTCACTTGTTTTGGTCATAAAAGGATATACAGGAACATCTCAGCATAGATGTTTTGGAAATATAATCTGCTGTAAATCTCCTCAGCAAAATAGGGGCCAATACCAAGATAATTTCTATGTTTGAAAGGTTTTCATGGTCTGGGGAAGGATGAAAGAGATGCTAATATAGAAATCGGCATTATACAATCGACCTGGAGCCAAAATAACCAATTAGGAACGTAGGGTGTTTTGTATCTATCTGGGGTGCCATGCAGTTTAAAAACTAATTTGTGAGAAGTGGATTTGCTCTTGTTTATTTTATAAGACAAAAATTATTTGGGTAAATTCATTACACATTGATAGACTCCATATTTGATTCTTATTGTAGTGTTCCAACAAAAGATCTGACAGTTAGGAAAGATGCCCAAGAAAAGAAAGAGGAAAACCTGTTGTGGGAAAAAAGATGACTTATTAAAGGAGACAGCGTTTTTTGTAATGAAGCTTAATCAATATTTCTTTTCTTTTTGTATCTATTAGCAGGGTTTGTTTTTGCTGCTAATGTAGTACTATTTTGTGTAAGCTTTCCCTCAGGTATTTTTTTAAAACTGCCGATGTTTACATGACCGCCACCTTCATGTATCATTTGTCAGGTCACGTTTCTCAGGTGTAACAAAGTTTTCATATATTTCACAGAAATATTTTTTGGGGAAAATGTATATAATGACCAGATATCTTCATGTTTTTATTTCATCAAACAGACCAGAATTGGATTTTGTGCAGATTTGCATAAATTAGCTCTGATCCTGACAACTATTCAGTACTTTATTTAGGAAACCTTGTCAAATTGAGTTCATTTTAAAACTCTGATGTACATTTTCCATCTGAAACATTTTGGTGCAACTCAAATCTGATTAATTATTTTTGGTTTTAAGGTTTACAGAACACCCCCAGACCCCATTAGGAAATAAGCGTTAACAATAACAGATGGATGGATGGAAGGTTTTCAAAACATTAAGAGTGCTTTTTCTTTCATTTTTGGACATGAATATAAAGTTTTAAGAAGAATTTCACACTGATAACGTAACATTTCAAATAATTCAAAGTGCTTGAACCCGAATCTGGAATCTATTTTAATCTCTTAAAGTGAGACTGATTCTTGGAAAATTGCACTGTTTTCTGCGGATGCTCCCTTTGACACCTGTGGATGTGTGTGTGTGTGTGCATGTGTTTTTGAGAGATGAACCCACTGAGCCATCTTCACTCTTCCGCTTTGTGAGCCTGGGCTTTGGTTCTCGAATTGCCTTCCACTGTCTGAATCAGAGCTGGTTAGCAGCAGCCAGCTGTGCGTAAAAATTAATAATCGTCTTTACACTGACAGAAATCAAACAGACACATGTGATGCGGCTCATCATTATTGTACTGACAACCAAACCTATCTGCCCTGTCAAAAACAAATCCTGCCCAGCTGTACAACCCAAAAGTTTCAATACTCTAATAAATCCCCTGCCATTCACCTTCCGTGTGAGTAGTTGCTCAACATGGGGTGATTTGTGGCCTCCTTTTAGTCCCTTGGTGGCATAAAGGTGATGGAAAAATAATTGCGCTGACCACAATGTTGACATCTTACACTTCCCCGACTGAGGGAGCAAATGGGTTAAATGACCCAGACAAAATGTTTGAGCAACAAAAAGCCAAAGACTCATCTTCCATGTACATCACATGTAGGCAGGTGGTCCTTCAGGAGAGTACTCTATCATGCTGGAATCATTTAAATATTGTGTCTGTGCCTTGTCAGTTTGAACATAGATTCATTTTCTAGATAATTCATTAAAAAGTAGGTAGAAATCATTAATATTTCTGAACCAAGTTAGTTTGCAATTGAAAGCCCAAGAAGAATTATGTATTTCATGGTCAAATTAGTTTTATATGTGTTTTTTGTGTGATTTAAAATGAAAAGTTTGTACATTTTTTCAGAGCTGTTGCGGTGTCTTATGCAACAACTGACTTTACTGTCTAAAAGTTTTAGCACGTGTGTGGAGAAAAAAGAACCATAGGCAGCAGGATTTGGGGAAATCTATGCCACGGTAACTGAAACCTTTCTTCTGATCAAACTCTTGGCTAGTCTGTATGGGTTAAACACTTCCAACTTTATCCACAAATTGGAAAGGTAAATGTCTCCTTCGGCTGCTTTGAGATCATCTATAGTAATGGATCCAAGCTGTTTTTAGACACGAGATAAAAGGGAAAGATTGGGAAAGCAGTAACAGTTTCAATGTGAGGTCGTGAGTAAAAGAGGCACCAGAAGACAGAATGAAAGAAGGAAGCTATGCTCTCAGTCGTGCATTTATCAGACTTCAGGCTTACATGTGCTTGCTTATCACTTAATCTTATTTGTACATTGCCTGAGAGCAAGGCTGCAGACGCTGAATAGATTTGTCCTCTGAACGAAGCCATCTACAATGCTCAGTGTTACTGAAAGGTGATGTAGTATCTCTGCACTTCAGAGAGATGTTACAAAGGATGATACACTAAATTACACATACTACACATCCTAAGTACCAATTCATTAAAGTAAGTGTTAATGCATTTTCTTTTGAGCGAAGTGAGGCTTTATAATTGAGGTCTTCCACCAGTGCCCCTGAAGGTAATTCATTGTCCTGATGGCATTGCCGTGCAAGTACTGTAGCTTCACAATGCTTCATCAAACCCGGGGATACAGCTTTACAATCTACCATATAAGTTGCATTGAGATTTATGGTGACTTTTTCTCCCCTTAAACTGGAGGAAATACATTTTTTGATCTGATTCTCCTCCTTTACGGTCAAGACCAAACTGCCAATGCCCATAACTAAAATGATTAATATGGACACTGCTTTGAAATGACAGCCAGAGGCAGTGCCTGCCTGCAGCAGGAGGCATTTAGTGTTATTCTGTAGCTCAGCTGTCAGAAGCTTTTTTATGTCATTTGATGAAATTTCAAACTCAAGGACTGAACAAAAGCCCGGTAAATATAAAATAATTATTTCGCTACCTAAACCCTCTGTTTTATCATCACTCTCAATGCTTTCTCTCAGAGATCCAGTATAGAAAATGTGACCACAAAAACACAAAGAGACAGACAACATAAAAGAAATCCCCTCAGACTCTTCAGTTTTGTTTTATGGCAAAATAGCGATGATTTAAGTGTGTTGAAGTCTGCCATGTTTAAATGCAAAGAAGATAAGCTGCCAAAATGCCTGTAGGAGCCACAGATCCACAAAGGCCAGCCAGATGGAAGACTAAATGCAACAGATAAAAAGGATATGATCAGGGCAAGCTGTTGCTTCACATTCTTCTGGAATTTATGAAGCATTTGTGTGCAATTGATTATTCTGTGAGAAAAAAGACACACACAATGAAGTGTCTTCACATTTTTTAAGAAACTTTAGAAATGTCCTCAATATTCTGAACTATATGATGTCATGTGGATTAATGGATAAGCTTTGCCAACACCTAAAAGAGGATCTACAGCTGTGATGAAACTGCCACTAATGAGTGCTGCCCCCAAAAAGAAATATTTTTAGTTAGTTCCAAGGCATGAGAGAGGTTCATTATTGCTAACGACTTCAGAGACTTACATTTAATAGCCGGTCCAAGTAGAGATAACATTAAATCTTCCTAAAGTACAGACCCATCACCACATCAGAAGATTGGTAGAGGTTTTTATGAGTGAAGCACTTCACAGACATCACGAGAGAGGAAAAATAGCGAGGACACAAATCAGATTTTGCATAAATGCATTCAAATTGGAAATTTCTCACAAGTGATGGTAGATATGTGGTCTTTTTGTTAATTTTGCAAGTAATCATAAACTACACATGATTATGATTCAAGTAAAAAAACAAAAAACAAACAAAAACCAAATAAAAGAAAATGAGAATTAGTGACACATCAGACCCTCTTTCCCCCATTTATATCACTGGGATTCATCTGAACAGACAGACAAACGACATCCCCATGACTTGAGCATTGGCACCATCATATTGTGAGGGCAGTGGATGGAGGAGTACAGGGGACTTCATTGCCCTGGAGAACTGGGGAAGGAACATATGGATACAAAACATTTGTTGGCATTTAATGTGAAAAATTTCCATTGCAATTTTATGGACCAACATACATGCATGTCGGAATGAAAGAAGCTTTCTTTACCATCCTGCATGAATAGGATACAAGATTCTTTTGGCTCATTAGTTTAAAAACCTTTCTGGATTCTGAGTGTGAGCTCTGTCTGCTCTTTACCAAATCAAATGTTCTATCAATAAAAAAACCAAATGAGGAAAGTTCCCTGGAGAAGCCTCTCTAAAAGCCCTGCAGATGTAGGACCGCATTGATGCTTTGATTTTATCTTTGCTCTGCATGATAAAGCAGACTGTTGTTTCCGCCTCTGGAGTTCTTCAAATTCCTGACTCACCTTTCTCAGTGAAAAAAAACCTTTTGTTGAGGTTAAACATGATCCCATCTGCTGTAAATTTTCCCATTTTCTTTCTCTCCACCCTCTCTCTTCCCTGCTTTTTTCTCGGTCCCTACCTCTCTCTGTCCGTTTGTGATTGGCTGGTTTCCTCTCTATGCAACATGTTGGTATAAATCACTGCTGGGGGTGGAGATAAGCACAGTCTGCTGTTTATTCCAGGAGTACACTTCTATAAAAGATCTGCTGCTCAAAACTGTACAACTTCCTTTTTGTTGTCTTTCAAACGACATTACTGACTTTGGATATTTAATATCTCACGATGTGTAAAGGACTCGCAACACTCCCTGCAACATGCTTGAAAAGGTAAGCACAATTTTCACAATTACCTGTTAAATGAACTCATATCATCTAGATCTAAACTTAAACTAAATCGCCATTGCTATTTTTAACAAGTAAATTTGAAATGTATTTACTGTAATGTGGGCAGATCTTGTCGGGAATCTGCAAACATGTTTACATTAAGCATATCCTCAAACGTGCTTGCATTTGTGTGGATATTATCATTAGAAACAAAGTGAAATGTTCCGAAATGTGTTTCTGCGCAGTGCCAAGGACATCAAGCACAAAATAAGCTTCTTACTCCAGAAGCCTGAGCCTCAAGCAGGGGAGCAGAAGGAGGTAAAAGAGAAAACTTCCACTGCTGCTGCTGCAAAAAGGTCAGAAGGAAATCTGTGTGTGTGTTTAATGCAAAGTGTTTTAATTTATATTAAGTCTGAAATTCCAATACAACCTGGTGCTCCGAAAGAAGGGTACGATTTAGAGCATTCACATTAGGATAAAAACATTCGTAGTTATATTTGATATGTGTGGGTATAATTACTTTGAAAGAATACATTAAAGAAAAATACTGTGTAATGAAGGTTTGACTGTCTGCGGATGTGAAATGACCAATGCAACTTATTTAGGACTGATTGAATGGAACATTATATTTAATCACTGAAGGAATTTTAAATCAGGTTTTGTCCAGGACATTCTGTTCAATCACCAATTCCAACCTAAACTGCTTAATAAAAGAAAAGAAAAAAGAAAAAGAAAATATTTTCTTTTATAGATAAGATAAAAAGAATGTGTCACACCTGATAGTCTGAATGCCTCAAAATCTCTGCACTGTCCACTTTCAGTATTCATGTGCCTCTTAATAAAACCACTGAGATGAGATGATTGTTTGGGGTTTGGGGGTTGTAGACGGGTTGATGTAGCCGGTGTTGATGAGGGAAGTGAAGAGCTTATTCATGCTGAAAGAGAGCTTGATTTGACGCATTCAATCAGAAAGCAAACGTATCGTGCCGGATATCGATTCATTTTGCCCTGATGGGATATTGTCAGTTACTAGCTACTCTGCTTTTTTTTCTGAAAACATTAAATGTCTCTTTTTTTCCTTGTGTAATCTGGAGTGAGGCGATAAAGCCTTTGTTTTTCATGAGCAACGAGTGATTGTTTTTTCCTGAATTAAATCTGAATTAAATCTTTTAGACGGGTGGATTTTCTTTTGGCTCGCAGGTTGTGGTCCCACATTTGGCATTTATGAGAAGGCGACTGTTCTGACCTTTCGGTTCCAATATCACATGATCCACCCATAATCATCACTGAGGCAGCGTAACTGTTCTCACAGTGTTGGCTAAATCTTTTATCTAAACTGCTTTAGTTTCCTAGGTCATGACTCTTTAAGATGGCATCATTATGCTGGACATCTGACCTTTAATGACAGGTGATGAATGGTGACCTGATTAGAAATGCTGGGATCTGTGAACACGCAGGCGGGTTCAGCTTTCTGAGCGGTGGCGGTATCACAGCGTCACCCAAGCTTTTAAATTTGTTTGCTTTATTTCAGGCTGCCTGATGCTACTGAGGTGGAGAAATGGAAGGAGTCCTTCAGTCATGTGATTGCCACTGAAGGTAAGGCTCTTGTCACATGTGTTTATTACCCTGTAATGCCATATGTATGCTATTTGACACATAGATTTCTGAGACATTTTGCATCAATATTTAGGCAAAACTTTGTTTAACCTGTGTATACAGAATTTGGGTTTTAGTTTATAGCAAAAAGTGGATAAAGTCACAAATTTGTTCGGTTGTTCATGTATTTTTTAAATAAAGGCTTCGGGCTTATATTTTCATCAGTTTTTTTTTTCTTGGGTTAAACTTTACAGGATTAACTTGATGGAAAGAATGGATCATATCCAGTCAAATTATTCACACTTCAGTTTTCAATAGAACATCTTGATTTATAAACATGAGGGAACAGCAAAATGATTATTCTCATGTGACATGACAGTGACGCGATCATGGGAAGGCAATCAGACTCGGCAGCACTCTGACCTACACATTCTTCGCAAAATGTAGGAAAAAGAATTAACCGTAACGATCGACCAGCAGCTGATCTTTGCAGCAGTTTGATAGCTCAATGTTTGAAATAAAAATAATGGCAGGGCAACCAATGAATTGTTTTTTTCTCTTGGAAGTGCTTATCAAGTGGCATCACATGACTCAACAAGTAAAACAAAGCATATCTCCCATCAAAGGTGTTTGTGTGTGTGTGTGTGTGTGTGTGGGGGGGGGGGTAATGGATGATGCAAAATGCAAATTGACCACATTTAAAGACACACAGACACACACACACACACACACTCTTCAACTTCTTCTCAGGCTCTGGGTTTTTTGCTACGTGTCACGAGTCACATCTGAGTGGTCCCTCAGGGCGCTCTGACCAGTGCACACCACAGGTTTCTGTGTGTGCATGTGTGTGTTTGTGCTGGCCCTCTGAGACTCACACTCTGAGTTCTGGATTTACAAAGAAGTGGAGCAATGGCCTTGAGGGAACCGGCTAAGTTCTGACCTGCTGCATTCCATGAACTCATAGATTGACCTCCGCCGTCGTCTCCCTGCCTTCCCCTGTCGGCTCTCATTGGTCCAGTCTACTTTTGTTTATCATACTGTGTGCTAAAAGGTCTCTACGATCTGCTATCTCAGACATGCTGAACTTTGGACCAGTTCCGCTGCCTCTGAATTTTATAACATTACGACTTTCTGTAAGAGCGCAGATCTATTTGTTCTGAGCTCTTCCATCACTTCAGGATCTCTGGTCTGATGACTTAGACTCTATAATGGGCAGCATGCAGGTATCTGGTTAATCAGTAATAGTTACAGACTAAGACTTCCTATTCCATCTTTCCTGAAGATGCATGGAAACATCAATTGAAATAATAAAAAGCCAAAATGTCCTCTTAACATTTGTCTAAAGAAATATAAGTACACCTAAATGGTGGAAGCATTTGTATAACTGATTGAATTTTAATGATTCATCTTTCAAGCTTCTTGTTTTGAATTATTAATTCTTCAGCCGGCCCTACTTCAAGAAAATATTTGATTTCATAATGCGGAGTCTAATTCTTAGGATAGATGTTGGCCTGCTAAAACTTGACTAAATAAAACACATTCTGTTGGTAATTGCAGATAATTTTGGGCAACATTTAGCAAACAATGGGCTATCAGAGGTTAAAACATGCACTCGTCAGTCTCTAAAAATATGCTGGATCTTAAGTGGAAACGTCTCTTTTTGCTGTCTCTTCTAGCTGGGCGTCTGGTCTTCACCGGCTTCCTCAGGTCCGAGTTCAGCCAGGAAAACATTGACTTCTGGATTGCTTGTGAGGACTACAAGAAGACTCAACCTTCCAAGCAGGCCAGCAGAGCAAAGCAGATCTACCAGCAGTATGTTGAGGCAGATGCACCCAATGAGGTAATTACTTGAAAAGTAGTGAACATTGACTTGATATTCCCATAGACAAAGTCAAAGATTATAAAATGTGGAGCTAACACTGATGCAAAAGGTAAGACCTGATTGGAAATGGAAAACATTATAGCCCAGATCACATTCCTCTGCAGTGACGCGAATGCTTGATGCTAATCGTGAATGAGCATGCACATAAATCTTTCCGCTAATGGCCATCCAGTCTTGTTCCTGATCAAAAGGCAAACTCTGATGATTTATGAGGATTTTAAGTCCTGTGAAGTTGAAGTTGTGCGAGAATGAAATACATCTGGTACATCATTCATCTGTGTCCATTTGGTTTTTACGTCTGATGAAAATCTCCTTTTTTACCTGTTAACTGAATTTTTTTGTTTTGTTTTCACCCAAGCAATTCTTTTGAGGCCTACAATAGTGTTTTTGTTAATAATCAGACCAAAGAAAAAACAATTGTGCTTTCAGAACGTTTGTAGTTTTAATCTCAGCACTGTTAACATTTCCGTTTCCTGTCTGATTAACCTTTTCCAGGTTAATCTGGATGCAGTGACCAGAGAGAAAACAAAGCGGGCTGTCGAGAACGCCAGCCCATCTTGTTTTGAAGAGGCTCAGAAGATGATCTACAACTTGATGGAAAAGGACTCCTACAGACGTTTCCTCCAATCCAAACTGATTCAAGATCTGTGCCAGAAAGAGACTTGCAGTCTTCTGGAGAAGAAAAACTGTAACTGGGCTGACAGCAGGCAGGTGTTAGCTGGTGGTGCATAAAGACAAAGAAAGAAGAAAAGATTTAAAGGAGGTGCCAAAGATTGAAATGCATGACTGAGCTAGATTAGGAGACTATTGAATAGAAAAAAATGGTTTTCAATGTGACTTCAAAAGACAACTGTAGGTGGCTTTAACTTCTACTTACTGTTAAATTACTGTCCGTTTTAAGTAGTACACTATGTTAAAACAAATGTAATGTTTCCCATTTCTGCTTTCACAGTCAGCTATCTCATTATGTGAATCAGAGTGGTTGAGAAAGACAGACTGAATGTTTGACATTTCCATATATGATTAACGTGCCAAGTTTGTGAACATCTGCTCCAAGAAGCTTCCGGTTTCTTTTTTCGTCAAAACATGAGTCAAACAGGTTCAAATAAAAGGTCAGGTCATAAGAATGGAATCTGAGCCTACCTCCAGCCAAAGGACACACCTTGAAAAAACCCAGTATACTCATTAAAAACCAAGTGAAAAGTGAAAAGACGAAAGAAAGTCGATCCGCAGACTGTTTGAATACATTGATTTAATGTTCAAAATTTGCCCATAAATCACTCCAATGGCACTTATGAGACTGGGCAATACTGTGATTTCTGTAACTGAGACAATGGCTGTACAGCCTTTAGTAATGTCCAAGTTATGCAAAAGTAGCACACAGGAAGAAACAGACAATGGTCCCTGTATTCTAACATTAACCACCAGCTAAAATAAGTACAAAGAATTTAGATAATGACAATAAAAAGTTCAGGACAAAGAAATTGCTCGCATGGGATAAAAAAACAAGCAAAAACAGAAAGAATGAAAATGGCTACGTTTTGCATGGGACATGAATAGGGAAATGGCAGTAAATATCAATAATGGTGATACTAGCATAGTACCCTTGTTTTGAATTGAAAAATGCATCAATTTATCCTAATCTCAACCAACAACAATTGGTTGTTATGGATTGCAGGGATCAGAGTCTGAGCAGAGAGAAAACAGGACAATACAGACTAATCTAATCTTGAGCTAACTTGTCTTCATAAGTGACAGCCTCAATTTACGTGGCTCCATTTTCATGACATCAGACATGAAACTTAAAGAGCTAAAGGGTTTTTGACCACATTCTGGTTACCTTTGTAATGTTATTGCTGTACAGATGAGGTAAATCTGAGAAAATATTCAAATCAATCAAACTTTTGTGGATCTCTACTCAGCAAAGTAATTACATTTTCAGAAACAGGTGATCACTGTGATCACATCTGGAGCTCACTGAGGAACTGAACAGATCATTTTAAGTGTAGTACTGCACAGCTATCCCCATGAATAATGGGAAGCCACTAAGTACCCATAACAGCAGTAAAGCAGACAAACCAAACAGTATTAAAGGTTTTTACTCTAAGCACATGTCAATATGGTCTACACAAAAAAAAAAAAAAAAAAAACCCAGCACATTTCACTTCACTTCATTGCATTTAATAAAAAAGCTTTATTCGTGCACTTTCATGTTAGTTTTGTCAAATCAAAGCGCCTGATCCACTTGTTACCATCCACTCACTTCTATTTGTGTGCTAAAGGAAATGGTTGCTACTGATGTTTGTTTTCATCTCAGAAGCTTAACCCTGGTAACAACTGGCTTTGCTGTCAGGACATCTTAATGTGATCTCTACACCATGGCAATGGTCTACGTGTCTACTTGTGGTGGCCTATTGAAATATGTTTTTATATCAGCAGAAATGCTTTGCTTTTGCATGCTAAGTGGTTTCTAAATAGATGTGAAAATTGGTTTGTGTTGCAAATTTGAGCTTTCCCATGTTAAGGTGTTTTGTTACACATTTCATAATCTAAAAAATCAAATTAAGTGTTGACTTTAAAAGAACATTTCATAATAGCCTTGTATTCCTTAAATGTTAATGGAATGTATATTCGTATGAATAAACAACTAGGTAGTGTATAAAGAAAGTTGTAGAAAGATGTATTTGTCCGTCTATATTTATTACAAAATAAAACCATGTCTTAGTGATAATATCTGAAGTATGATTGTAAGCCTTGTTTGAGTTTGTCTTTGTGGGGAAATGTGATGGACTGACAACCTGTCCAGGGGGCTCCCTGCCTCTCAGTGAAAGGCGCCAGCCCCACTGTGACCCTAAACTTGAGGTTTGACGGATGTATAAATCAATGAATACTTACATGTTACTGCTGAAAACCATGCTGGTAGAGTGCTTACATTGTTTAACAAATATGACTTCATCACCTGACCTTATGTTAGTACAAGTATGTACACAGTATATATTGTAATGATTTGATTTAATAAATTCAATCATATATTTGATCAATGTGATTAAAAAAAAAACTGGCTGAAAGAATTCAGCCCTTCATACCACATTGTAGATAATGGAATGGTGTTGAATGTGATCTGATGACCTATTTACACACACATGCACAGTCCTAAACCCCTGGACATATCTGAACATCTCAGCATGTAATGGGTGAAGCGGTCTATCTTTTGTCAGCCAACATGGAGACATGAGGTAGCCTCTGCTATCTCCAACAGTGACAGCATGGTGTTTTCAGACTACAGATTATTATCAGGATCTAATACAGTTATCTCATAATGACTTAGGGAACATTTTGCCCTCAAGAAATAACCAATTTTGCATTAAGACAATGATGAATCAAGCCAGACCTGGAGCTGAAAAAGTGAAAGGACTCGAACTTGATTGAGGTAAAAGTAAGTGAAGGCAGTCAATATGCAATATGCATTAGACCATGTGGGCAAAATAATTATAAACATAATTTATGTATGTATACATACAGAAAAACCAGTGTGTGTTTGTGCATAATCTAACTTTTCTTTTAAATCTGCTATGTGAATTCACCTCCATTTACTCCACCTTTATTCAGCCACCTACCCCAGCTTCATGCCTTTTTAAGGACATAAGATTTACGGACATTGTATACTTTACAGTAAATACCCTCGGTTAATAAATCTAATCTACACATCTAACTTTAAATGTCAGGAAAACAGCAGGCATGCACACAAGTTTACAGCCTGTATAGTCTTCAGCCTGCCTTGCTGCTTAGTTAGAGCACAGGATTTAAAGAGCCACATTTCTGCTAAATTATGTAAATGTGTTTTTATTATTTATCAACACTCCTCAAAAATATCTCAAAGCAATTATTTACTTGCCGCAGGCTATTTTCTCCACCGAGAAAATAAGAGCAATAAGAAACAAATATAAACTCAAATATTGTAGGAGGAAAAAAAACACACGCATATAGATTCTGGTGTCTTGAAACAGTGCTCTGCTGTTTCTCAGGCTGCTTATATCCTACTTCAGTCAAATAATTGACAGTGATGTGTTGAATCCACTGAGGACTGGTGTGCCTGTGTGGATGATTTCTCTAATCTAAAATAAACGAGTGTGATTCGTTAAGAGGCTGACCTGAAAGGACCAGCAGCTGTCTTCTGTGATGAATGTTGCTGTTTATCTCAGATGAGTTTAGGGATAAAGAATGTTAGCGCTTGAATCTAATGAGGAAAGTTGAACTAAATGAGACTGATTCTGTTGTTTTATGATTCTTTCATAAGAGAAAATTCTTTAAGAGTCCGTCAAAAAAACAGAAGGTGCCACAGTTCCCTATAAGCAATGACATCTTTGTTTGGCAAAATCCCTCCAGAGCAGTATGATAGGGTTTTTATTTGTTCGTGTGGCTTTGTATAGGGAGCAGACTGTCATCCGTAGTCTGCAGCTTGAGCTGCATTGCAGCTAGGTGTCAGGTAGGCTGCAGCTGTTTCCACAGGCAACCTACTGACAGGAATGACATCCCTCTAACCCTTTTCTTTTGCTGACAGCATAACCTCTAATCTGCGGCATCTATATCAGACATCTAATAACGTCACTATTGTAACAGGATTGACTGCGTCTTCTCACACAAAAAGCTATGATTTTATGGTCACCACACATGACAAAAGATTCTACGCATCGAAATGTGCTGCAACAAAGAGTAGTGCAGAGTTTAAAAAAAATGCAAATTCTTTTAACCCCTATGTTGCCATTAGTTTAAAATGTTCTTAAATCTTTTGCCAACTTATAAGACAAAAACTTTAAAAAAAAACTTTGTTGTACTCAATACCAGATACCAGTGAACAGAAGACTACACTGCAAAGGGATGTAAGTGACAAAGATAAGTGTAAATTAATAAGAAATTCACAAACTTTATGTAATGTCAAAATCTTAAAACAATCTTTTTTTCTCATAAACTTATCAGGACAGATCAATAGATAACAGGATGCCTCATTCAACAGAAAAGTGAACTGTGGCTCACTCTGCCTCTTTTCAAGGTGACTTTTAAGTAATTCTCTTAGAACAGTTTCCCAAAAAAGGTTATAAGTCAATGATGGATCACGTCATTACAAAAAGTATTGGAAAAGTCAGAAGGCTAACTGGGAATGTTTCACTTTTGGTAATAATTTCCATTCGTATTTAATTGACCTGATTTCCTAGACTTTTGTGAAGATTACCTGCTTTGCATCCAATAAATCACACACCGTGCAGCAATTCCTCTCACTGCACACACACAGAACCACAAGGAAAATCTTCTGATTTTTGCTGTGATTATTTACTCCCTCACAGTTGATTATGAGGAAATGACCATGCATTCTTCAAATTTAGCCTCTTTTCTTTATTGAGTCATGTCTCAGACTTCAATTAGCATTACTGTGTCAAAAGTATTGCTCTTTTGTTTCATCTAGAACTCCAGCTATTAAAAACCTTCAATTAAATTCTGTCCAAGGGTAGTTAGGGTGAAAGAATAAGTTTGGGGCATAATGATATATTTAGGTAAATAAGTTCTGTACTCGGCATGTGCACTGGGACAAGGAGGGGGGTCAAGTTGAACTATGGGGCGACTCAACAGTGCTGACAGAAAGCACAGGAAAATGTCCTTAAGTCCTATGACAAGTCAACGGGAAATTACTAGAAATAAATCAGTTGGCAACACGTGAACAAAACTCACATTGTTTCCCTTCAACCAACCACCTTCTCATTGTAACAGGTGTTGCCTGATATGTGTTGCAGTCTCAGAAATTGCTGTGAAACTTGACTTTTTTACATTGAAATATCCCTTTTGTTCCCTAAAAATAATTGAATCAACCAAAGCTTTGTATTTTTCACATTGCTTAAAGACATTTATCCTGGCCTTTCTGATTGGAACTGGAGAGCATGGAGTAAGGGAAAAAGTTTGAAATATTAAAAATGTATGCACAGCAAGACAAACAAATCAAGAGTACACATTTCTGCAGGTAATGAGGAACATGGAAGCTGGTGTGTTGATGAGAAAAAGGCAAGAAAGTGGTGAAATGGAAAGTGTGGATTGGAGCAGTAGACTGAAAAAATCTGAGGGTGTCAAAAAGGCTGCAAACAGAAAAATGAAAAAAAAGTATTTTCTAAAAAGGCTGAAAATGACTATTCAGATTAAAACATAACAATTGCTTTCAGGGCTTCAGAAAATTATTCTTAATCATCAAAAAAGATAAAATAAAACCCCTGTTCTTCTAAAACCTCATCAAGTCTTGTAAAGTCCTGCTGTTTCACACTATTGACACCTCAGCGAGAAGCTGTTGGGGTGAAAACCAAAAAAAGAGAGATCAGAGCCCAAGGCTCACAGCAAATTCCCAAAGTTTCAATGAACAGTTTCTCTGAAAACTTTCTATGTGCAGGCTTTTTTGGTGCTTTGGTCAACTGAGGCTGAATTTTCTTTAAGTCTTAATTCGCTTTTCAAAGGAAAGTTGTATGGATACAAAGTAAACTGCTTCTTCATGATTTCTTGCTGAAAGACTTGATTTTAGCTAAGAACTGTGGATAACTGGATGGAAATGAACAACATCACATGGGTCTTTTTCTTCTTGAATTGGCACAGCTTCGACAAGTCTTTCTCAGAATGATTCATGTTTCAGTGCTTGCTCAGGTATGCTATAGTAGAAACTCAATAACACATCTCTTGCATTGTTAGCGCTGAGCTTCATGCAGTGGTCAGTCACCTGCATTCTTCTGACAGAGAGAAAGGGAAGGGCTCTGCTTTCCAGCCTTAGGGAGACTGGAATAGGATTTTTTAACCAGTCCAGGATAGGACTCAGCTTCAAATTCCTACCAATTAAAATCACACCAAATGTAAAAACAAGAATAAAGTTCCCCTCCAGCAGTCTTGTAAGCTTTGTACATTCTGAATTGCAATATGTTTAGATACGATTATGGGAAAAAAAACTAGTCTAACGATATTCAGCTTTGCTCCAATGACTAAAAGAACTGGCCGTTGATGCAGTTGTGTTGTACCAACAATAACCCTCTTTATGTGACGCAGGGCTGGAACTGGAGTGCAACCAGGAAACAGAAAAAATGAGGAGCAAAGGAGAGCTGAAGAGCTCACCTTTGATCATCGACAACCATTGGTGAAAATACTGGAGGAATGCACGGTACTAAGCGTACCTTCCAACTCTTGAATACCTTTCTTTGTGGTCTTTTGGCAAAAAGACTTCGATTGTAGCTTTCTCTCTGATGTACTATTCCTCACATTTATATCAGAACATGATTCGTTTCCTTGTTATTTTGACTTCTGAGCAGGTTGAAAATTGATTAAAAGGCCATGCTCTTAAATAATATTGAAAATCAAATCAAGTAAATGTTGTGATTCTCAAGTTTTTCTGCTCTTTCACATTGTGCAGTGTAATCCTCTGTGCAGTTTATTTCCCTCCACAGTTCCTGACTTTTAGCCGGTCCTTTGCAATATACAGAAATCATTCTAATTCAAACAAGATATTCATTAGTAATTAAGACATCTTTTGTTTTCAAACAGCAGATGCTAGAATTAACAGTTTGTCAAATCAGAAGTAAAAGTATGACTTCATGCAAAAAAATGTTGGTCTCTCTTTGGAATCCTAAGTCATTATATATATCTTCAAAATCTTAAAAGCTTAAATCTTAAAAGCTTAAATCACTTTTTCCATCTAGGTAAAGGAGAGCCTATCTGAGTCATCATGTGGAGGTTATATCACAGCAGACCTGTATTTTTTGTATGTTTTATGCCTGCAGCTGTAATAATAACAAGGCTCTGGAAAAGCTCAGTCCTTCAGGCCTGAGAGGAGCTTCGTTTGGCATTAACCTGCTTATCACTGGATGTTCTCTCTGGCCCTCGAAACACCACACAGCTGTCAGACCTGGTAATTGAAACCCGACATCAGGATCTGGTGCGCTAATACAATCATCCACACAAAGAGCCACGTACCCATTGACACACGCACACGC